GTCAACAAGGCAAGCTGCAAACCAGCTGGCAACGTCCCAGTGGGACCTGGAGCTACTGGGGCTGCCAGTAGGGTGGAGCAGCAATATGGGCTCAGCAGGACTTACAAATCCCTGTCTGTGGTCATTGAGGACTACCTGGATATCCATCCCAGCTTGTGCCCATTCCCCAAAGGCATTCACAGGACAAACCACACTCCTGGAGAAGCTCCTGGTGGTGTGACTTGTCCTGCCCAGATCCAGCCCTGGCACCAAGGAAGTTTTCTTGGGTTTCCTGTTTGGACCATCTGAAACAGAATTTTCCAGCCCTGAAGACTCTTTTTTTTTTTTCCCCCTCCCAGGCAAACAGGGAAACATGTCCTTTTGTTATTTATATTCTTTGGGAGAGGAGGAGGAGGTTTGGGACAGAATGAGCTGCAGGGCAGTGTCCTGCCCAGATCCAGCCCTGGCACCAAGGAAGTTTTCTTGGGTTTCCTGTTTGGACCATCTGAAACAGAATTTTCCAGCCCTGAAGACTCTTTTTTTTTTTTCCCCCTCCCAGGCAAACAGGGAAACATGTCCTTTTGTTATTTATATTCTTTGGGAGAGGAGGAGGAGGTTTGGGACAGAATGAGCTGCAGGGCAGTGTGTGCCTGTCCCCCTGAAGACTCTTTTTTTTTTTTCCCCCTCCCAGGCAAACAGGGAAACATGTCCTTTTGTTATTTATATTCTTTGGGAGAGGAGGAGGAGGTTTGGGACAGAATGAGCTGCAGGGCAGTGTGTTTTCTGCCTGTCCCAGTGTTTGGTTTCTGCCTGTCCCAGTGTCTTATGCCTGTCCTAGTGTTTGGTTTCTCTCTGTCCCAGTGTCTTATGCCTGTCCCACAGTTTTCTGCCTGTCCCAGTGGTTTCTGCCTGTCTCTGACACACTGGAGGTCCCAAAACAACCTCCTCCAGCTTGTCTGGATCTCCTCATCTGCTCTCCCCCCATGCAGCCTCAGCACTGTGAGGATAAACCACTACCCACCCTGTGCTTCCCAGAAATGCTGCTTGGGTTAGGAATGTTCATCCAGTGCTCAGCAAAGCTGTTTTCTATCAAACCCTCTCTGCCTATATTTACATATATCATTCCCTGAGGGGCTTTTGGCATTGCCTTGGCCCAAGAGGAGGAAACCTCACAGCTCTCACACTGGCCATGGTGGCAATGAGACCTCTCTGAGCCCCCAACTGGAATGTGTCCCCCCAAATTGCTCTCAGAGCAGTGATACAACTGTAGTTCATAGTGAGACTATTTACAAGCACTTCAAATGATACTCCTGAAGCTAAAATACAGGTTAGGATAATTTTATTTCCTCAGGAGTTTGAAGCTTTCAGGCTGTACTTGGGTCAATTGTGTAAACTCTTCTTGGTACCCAGTGAGGGTTGGGACCTTCTCTGGTTTTGAAGCAAAACTGAGAGGTTTAGATAACAGTCTGCAACCACAGCGTTATCAACATGACAAATAAGACAGGACTCCTAACAGCAACACAAGACACAGGAACAGCAACACCCATCCTCCCTTCTGTGGCTCATGATGCCCTGGGAGACGTCCTTCATCTTCCTTTTAGCTTGAGGCATATCCATCACCATTTAGCTTCCAAATCTTCATCCCTCATAGTCATCTGAGCACCCCACAGGTCCCAGGAGCCAGGTGGAAGTCCTTGCTCAGCTCTGGGTGCCTCTTCCAGCAGCATGAGCTGAGCCCAGTTTGTCTGAACACTCCCTTTAACACTGATATGGTGTAGGTTAATACTCTTTGCTTGACATATGTTGGTAGTTTCAGAGTTCTGAAGTCCAGATTAGGCTGGATTAGACCCCAATGAGTGAGGTTTGGTTTATAGGGAGATAATGAACTGCCCTGATCCAGAGCCTTGGGTGAGGATGGGAGGTGCTGGAACCATCATGGGTTGTTGTAGTTGGGGCTGAAACCTCCCTGGAGCTGTGCTGAGGCTGAGCCACCTGCTCACAATATGGGATTCAGAAGGGCTTTCAAACGTGACAAATATGTAGGAGCACTGGAACACCAGAGATGCGGGACCTGAACCCACTGTGGTTCAGCACAGGACAAGCACTGGTGTCAACAACAGCTTGGACACGATGGCCAGTGGGGTAAGGCAACACTCCCCAGCAGCAATAACACAACCAGCAGATTGCATCACAATGTCCTGCTGGGTCAGGTCCTGCCAGTGGGGCACACAAAGGTCATTCAAGACATGTTTGGACACCTCCTGCAGTCTTCACTCATGCTATGAGAAGCACGTGGCCAGAGGAGGCTGATGATCCTGTTGGTGGGGCACACAAGGGTGATTCAGGATGTGTTTGGAGGCCTAACATAGCCTTCACTCAAGCTAGAAGAAACACCTCCATAGCCAGAGATGTCTGTGCTTGGTCAGATCCTGTTGGTGGGGCACACAAGGATGATTCAGGACGTGTTTGGAGGCCTAACACAGCCTTCACTCAAGCTAGGAGAAGCACATAGCCAGAGGTGGCTGATGTTCATGAGATGGACTCCAGCAGCAGCTCATCAGGTGGCATGGGAGGGATTTCCCTGCTGTTGATTCTCCCAAAGAATTTGGGAAGAGCCCAGAACCTGAGGCGTGGAAGGTTTCTGTTCCTCGTGCGGATGTCGTGGCCGCTGTCGGAGACCGAGAGGCTGTTCCGGCGCTGCATGAGCCGAGCACGAAGGGCCACACAGCCGTGGCGCAGCAGCTGGTCCTGGAACTCAGAGGTCATGAAGTAGTAGAGGACAGGATCCAGGCAGCAGTTGAGGCTGGCCAGGCACAGGGAGATAGGGTGGAAACGGAGCGTGCTCCTGTGAACGGCACAATCCCAGATGATGTTCTCGATGACCATCATGAAGAAGGGGAAGTTGATGTGGTAGGGGGTGAAGCAGATGAAGAACACAGCTGCACACATCAGCACCATGCGCAGAGCCTTCTGCTTCTCACTGGTGTTCTGCAGCTGTGTGGGACACTCCCTCAGGGAATGCCACATCTTCCATGTGCAGCACGCGATGATCGCGAAGGGGATGATGAACCCAAACAGCTCTGCCACTGTCACTAGGGCAATGGAAGCTCCTGGGCTGAGCTGCTTCACCCCCAGGTCTGAGAAGCAGCTGTTGATGTTGTTGGACAAGGCTGGGCTCCTCACAATGATGAGAGGCAAACAAGCTGCCCCCACAAAGAGCCAGACGGCCACGCTGATGGCCACGTCGTAGCGTCGCTTCCAGTCCTTGGCCTTGAAGGGGTGGAGGAGGAAGAGGTACCTCTGGATGCTGATGCAGGTGAGGAAGCAGATGCTGGCATACATGTTGAGGTACTTCAGGTAGAAGCACACCTGGCAAAGAAAACCACCAAAGGGCCATGTGTGGTTGATGTAGTAATACGTCCGTAAGGGCAGCGAGAGGACGTGAGCCAGGTCAGCCACGGCCAGGTTGATCATGAAGATGACAGCCTTGCTCTTCTTGCTGATGAAGCGACACAGGACCCACAGGGCAGCACTGTTGGCCAGGAGGCCATGGATGAAGATGAGGGTGTAGGTGGTGGCATACAGGGTGGACTGGAAGGACATCTGGGGGTCGGTGCAGTTCCCAGAGGACACGTTGGTCTCCATCTCGGCTGAGTCTCTTTGCTCATGGGGTGATCAAGGTATGTGGAGGGTTTCTGTAGGGAGTAAAAAGATGCTATGAGGCCAAAAACTCTCCAGTATTTCCTCACATGGAGGAAATGCACTTTGGGACAGATTGTTTCAAGGGTGGACTGGAAGGACATCTGGGGGTCGGTGCAGTTCCCAGAGGACACGTTGGTCTCCATCTCGGCTGAGTCTCTTTGCTCATGGGGTGATCAAGGTATGTGGAGGGTTTCTGTAGGGAGTAAAAAGATGCTATGAGGCCAAAAACTCTCCAGTATTTCCTCACATGGAGGAAATGCACTTTGGGACAGATTGTTTCAGGAGCGCTCAAGGCTAGGCTTCATCCAACCTGGAATGAACACTGCCCGGGTTGGGGCAGCCACAG